TATTCAAGTCTTTTTCCCTTCATAATTCAAGGTGTAATATTAGTCTACTGAGCACATTTACTCAACCCACCATGGAGGGCCGGTCAAATGGGATAGGAACATTCAACCTGCAATCAGCTATTCTTTTTGGGGGGAGAGTGAAAAAGTCAGCAAATGGCCAAGGGAAAAAAAGAACTTTTCCTTTGTCCTTTTCCCCTCGTCCTTCACAGAAAAAGAGCAGAAGGACTGCCTGATTGTAGGGTAAGGAATATTGCCTACTTTATACATGTAGCTATTAGAAATGTGTGCCCCAGCCACAAATTTCTCATACAGGTACATGTAAATGGTAAATTCCCCTGTTCCTCTTGCCATTTCTCTGCCTATACCTGTACAGGTGCTTTGAATACAAGTGAGATCAATGGAGAGCAAGGTGCAGTTGTCAGTAGTAAGCACTGTATTCATAAATTCTGAGAGGCAAAGAGTCACAGACAGCTTACTTGATCTTGGGGCGGAAATATTTCAGCTAATATCTTGTTTTGACCGAAAAGATAAGCTTTTGCAGGCTTAAAGACTCACCCCCCCCTCTCCAAAAAAAAAGACAGTCACATGACTGTCCTTTCTGGTTGCTTTTCTTCGTGGGAATGTCTTCATACACTCAAAACTCAAACTCTCATTTCATTTACTGTATGTGATTGTAACTGTCGACTCTCTTGAAGATGGGCACAGACTTTTTGCCTGGAACAAGGTGTCCATCTTATTGAGATGTCCATTACAAGAGAGTTGACTGTAAACCAGTACTGTAAACATCAGATTATAAGCCCTGGGCTTATACAACTTCGTAAGGGGTTTTAGGAGGGCCCAATAGTGACTAACGTCAATTTTCTCCTAACGATATCCATACCATGTAAAGAGATTAGGTTATGAGAATTAATAAAATGATCACCTAAGGGAAATGCCTTGATCTTTTATCAAATTCTCTCAACTCATTCATGAAGGAAATGTATGGAGATCAGTTTGGAGAATTTGTATGTGGATATTGGGGCTTAAAGGGTTAAATGGGGGCAGGGGCTTATAGTCGATCAGAAAAAAATGTTTCAAAGCAAGCTACATAGCAGTGCTGATCAAATACTTTGATGGTTTTTGTGAGCCTCAAAGCATTAAAAGGCGAATTCATTTCAATACAAGCTAAAGTGGGCGGGGTATATTCAGGGTGGGAGAGGGGTAGATAGGCCTATAAATGGAGGGCTTATAACTAAAAGTTTATGGTATCTTGCAAATAAGCATACATGAAGTTGATGTTCATTACCATTTCATTTCAGTGCTCACTGTCAGCAGAAAACGTGACGCTTGCCTGTCAATCCAATGGCTTGACGATGGACACTATGGCTAAATGTTTTGAACAGGTATGATAATGTCATCAAAATTGAATGTCACAATAATTTTTAAGTCTGATGTTTGCATAAATTTGTCCAAATGTCAAGCCTAACATGAACTCTGAAAAAGGTGTACCAAGCTAAGCTTAAAAACCAAGTGTGAATCTTGAGAGAGATGGCCATCAGCTCAGCATTCTGTATGTTGGGACGTGGTTTAACTGCTAAGAACTTTTGGACAGTTGGCCTTATCCTTGCATAAAAGTGTAATTGAGGGGCTTGGAATAAAATGTTGCTCAGTGATGATTTTCCATTAATGTTTTTGTTTGTTTTCTCAATCAAGAAAGCATCCATGTTTTATTTTTTTGGGAGGTGGGCACACCTTTTGCGGGTAAACATTAGTAATCTCTCATATTCAAAAATTTACATGTAAGTTTTAAGGGTTTTCTCTTTTCTCTTTCTAGAATCCAGACAAATGTGCAGCATTACCTGATGAAGTTTTGAACAAACGTCTCCTTCCTGCAATTTGCCAGGTATGTATTTTTTATGTGACTCTGCATATTATTTTTAACTATACAGGTACACCATTGATAAGTTTACTTAAGTGGTCACAGTTTATGATAAAGTCAAATCGGTGTATTATGTTGGTCACCCTTGGAGAACGTTCCAATGACAGTCATATATAGGGTGACTACTGTACACAGGTTTCCTTTAAACTCTACTGGAAGTTATTGAATAACCTTTTTATGTGAAGATAATCACTCCATTTCAATTGTAGGGACAATATTTAAAATACAACAGCCTTGTCACAAGCATGTATAGGATGTAGTTGTATTCGGTATAAAAATGAACTTGTGTATTTTGCGAGACCCCTGCCACACAAGTCACACTTAATGAGCTCTTGAATAAAGCGTGCAATAATTCATTTAACATTTTATGTTAATCCAATTTAGTGGTGGTTGTATACATACAGATAAAAAAGTAATGAAATTTTGGATTTGGGAAGTCTAAAGACTGACTGACAGGTGACCACTATATACAGTCGACCCCCGATAACTCGAACCCTCGGTAACTCGAACCTCGCGCTAACTCGAACCAAGATTGATTTCCCCTGGATTTCCGTCATACATTTACTGTAATTTTACCCTCATTAACTCGAACCCTTGATAACTCAAACTCCCGCTAACTGGAACCAATTTTCGTTTCCCCTCAGGTCATTTTCTATATAATTTTACCCTCAATAACTCGAACCATGTTTTGAGCCCTTAAAAAGTTGGGAAAAAAGCCGTCTACTGGCGTCCGAAACATTGAATTTTGGATTTCCTATTAACGTGTTGTAGGAGTATAGTTTACTAATGGAGGCTGATGTTGATTGTCACAGACTAACGTGAAGCAGCTTTACTTCTCAAAACAGTAAAATGCATGCTCTATTTAGGCTATGTTTTGTTACGTTACGTTCTGATTAATTTTATAATCTAGAAGTATCTTTTAATTTTCACTCGACATTTCTGCAATTAAATGTGATTAAAATGTTCACTGTGCAGTAAAAACTGTTTTTTACCTTACTCTCGGCTATTTTCTTCAAGCTCCCGATAACTCGAACTTTTTTTGATTTCCCTTGAAGGTTCGAGTTATCGAGAGTCGACTGTACAGGTCATATCTAAGGCACAATTTTTCGGAAAGTTGTTCAGTGACTGTGATATTCAGGGAGATGGCTATATACAGGGCCACTATACACTGTTTTGACTGTATGCGGATTGGACACTCTGAGTTTTGTTATTGATCATTCTTTGGGACTGTTTCTAAAGATTCCATTTCTTTGATTTGTATTCAGATTCAGAATTCACTTGTTTCGTTGATTTATTATTTTCAACAGTTCATTACTCAGTCAAATGGATTTCCCTTGGAAGCTGAACAGAGAGCATTAGCTGGCAGAGTTCTCTCTCACATCAGTGTCCATCATTTCTCTGCTCTTTTTAATCGCATTGCAATTAGGTGAATATAAATAATTATAATAATTGTTAGTTATAGGTGCATTTTTTGCTTTTGAGAAAGAAAGATAAAATAATTCAATCATCTTTCTTAAAAAATAAATAAAATATAGAAGTGCAGGAAGCTTTGATCTCCAAGTTATTAACAATCTGGAAAGATTCATTTGTCACTTGGCCAAGTTTGTGTTTGAGGAAATGAAAGGCTTTTATTGTTACTGCTCAAATACTAGTTTTTTTATTTATTTTTATTTTATTTTATTTGCCACACAATAATTACAAAAAATAAAGGAAAAGAGAGAAAGAAAAAGAAGTGGCGAGGAGACCAAGCTTATTGCAGCCTTCATTTTACTATATATACTCAGTTTTGTTGGCTCCATACAACAGCCACATTACATTTAGCATTTAATAAAGCCTGGACATTGCGTGACTTTGTTCTTATGCAAGAGTGGCCTGTTTATGTAGATGTTCACCAGAAATGACCTTGAGTTTGCCGTTTCGTGGTAACAACTCTTTATGGTTACTAGCTGTAAGTGATACTAAGTTATGCCTATAGCCTTCATACCACTTGAGTGCTTCTTTGTTTTTTAGCTTTGCATGTTCACTCTGCATTTTACTCAGTAGCTTATATGCATCAGTCGTTTATATTTTCCCCACCACACACCCTCCCTTTGCTTCATTAAAGATGGACTACTGGCTTGGGTGCACACCTGCCACTCTTATCAGTGCATAGCAGGCTGGGTGGGGCCCCCACCCCACCTTAGTTTACTCACTTGCATTGCCTCCTTTATTACTGTGTAGGGTGTGTGGCTGCCACCCTCATTCCATTGCATATTATTACTAGGGTGTGTCTCTGCCACCCTCATTGCATTACCCAGTTTAGGGTGTTTGCTGCCACCCTCATTGCAGTACCCAGTTTAGGGTGTGTTGCTGCCACCCTTATTGTATGCACTTTATGGGGTGACTTGCTGTGACCCTCGCTTTACCTCAGGTTGCACCCAACAACCTTTAATCCCATTTACTGCCAAAGATTTGTAGTTGTGTATTTTCTTTGTTTAAGTCTACATTATTAGTGACTAAGTTGTTAATACCATCCCCCCAATTTTTGCAAGGGAGTATCATCTTTGTTTACCCCTGGTTCAATTGTGTCACATTAAAGCTTTGCATCAGTTGAAGAGCACAGGGCCTGGAAATAAACCAACATTTAAAATAAAAATTTTCATTCAATTATTGTATGAAATGTTTTTAGCTCATGTCCTTTGTAATACATTATTCTTTGCAGAGGTGGTTTAGTCTGGCTAACTGACGACTATTTGTAAGTTATTGATGTCATCATTTTTCAGATTACACGTTCTTGCCAATACAGAAGATAATTCTGACACTGGGGATATTGAACTCATTCGTCATTTACATGTGAATGTTTCGTCTCTCAAAATTCTCTTGCAAGGTACAACTTTTGCAATTATTGTTATTATTATTATTATTATTTTTCATCATCATTATTTTTTTTGGAACATTTGGAGCCAACCCATGATTTCAATCTCTGTTGAAAACTGGCCATTTGGTTTCACGACATGAAAACCATTCAGTCCTCTCATAAGTGTACATTGTAAAGGTTACATGTACCTCTTTTATTTCAGAGAGCATTCAAGTATTTAAGTCCCTAAAGAAGACTGGCCAGCTAGCACTGGTGTCAGGATTAGAAAAGGTAGGCTAAATTGCATTATTTTAATGAGTAATACACATGTAGGTTGTCAGATAACAACTTGGATGGCAAATGTGGCATCTCACTTTAGGCATGTCAAAAAAACTAAAGCTCACAAAGAAAACAAGATATTTCAAGTTCCAACATCCCCTCCTGTCTGCATTTCCATAGCATTTGCTCCCCCCACCCCCTATTTGTCTGAGAATTTCTAGAAACTCGTCTGTTGCGGGTGTGTTGAGTTTTTCTGGAATAACCTAATGCAACTTCTTGTTTCCTTTATATTTAATTGTTTCCTTTATATTTAATTGTACGTGACTGTCCTATTCAGCAAGGAGACCTTACTTGTAGAGATGCCTAATGGTTTCTGAAAGCTCCTCCTCCTGATTTCTTGTAAAATATTACTACACCATTTCTTTCTTCTTGTATGAAAAAATAAATAAATAAATAAATAAATAAATAACCAAAGATAAAACTGAGCCACAGCAATAACATTTTGATTTCTGTTACATTGTTCTAGGCAATATGGAACTGGGTAGAAAACAGTCCTGATGAACTGGCCCAACTTCAAAGGCAACCTTCACCTGAACTTTCAGGTAGGCTTTACAATATTGGTCTTGCTTATTTCTGGGGTGGAAATTTGGGCCAAGTGATGTATATAGAGTGCATTTCATTTTTTAACTCCCATTTTACAACAACATAAGAACCTCTAGTAAGATTAAGGGTATAGATGTCTGTTCCTTGGGGTCTTTTTTATTATTGTTATTGAGGGGTAAATTTAATCAGGTGCAGGGATGTAACAATAACAACAACAACAACAATAGTATATTTACAAACGTAACACTAAAAGAGCTTACAGAAACTCGTGTAATAATGAACATACAGTACCTCAAAACTGTTACTATACTATAACAGTAGTACTACTACAAATTAACTATACCTTCCACAAGTATAAAACCCTGAAAATTATGTACATTATAGATAAATAAATTGTAATTATTATAAAATTATGATAATTATGATGACAATAAATCCCTCGGATAGTTGCAACAAGACCAAGTCAAAGTGATTTGGGTAAGATACTAAACCTAATGTCTGCATGAAACAAGGTTTGTTATCATTAATACCCGAGAAGTCACCAATTTATGACTCATTATTTGATAAATTATCCCCTTTAAAAAATAGTGAAAAATGTGTCCACAATGGTGGTTGGGCTCATTTCCACTGCATTTTAAGTTGAAGACATGCAGTAGAGCATCGATAGTTGATTCCACAAGAACAGTTGTTTTGTTAATCCTGTGATATCCTGTATATATGTGCCATTTATTATGTTTCTTAGAGTATGCAGAGAAACTTTTCGACATGGTGGATAACTTTGCAGAAAGTTCCAAAAGGAAGGCCGCAGTCTGGCCCCTTCAAATAATGCTGCTTATTTTATGTCCTGTAAGAAAATTTTTGTTATTATTGTGCACACACTGTTCCTGTACATTGTATACTCATTACATGTGTTATCACTATTAGTATTGGGATTTAAAGGGTTAATTATTGAGTTGAACAATAATATTTGAGCGCTTACCATTTGTATGGAAAACCCGGGAATTTCGGGAAGAATTCAAATGGAACGGTTCATCCCGCTGGAAATTTTGTGGAAAATAAGTTATACCTTTTGAGGTATTGCCTTTTTCCAGTTTTTGCCGAAACAAGCAAAATTTTCCGTACCATTTGTTTGGATCACCAATGCCAGGTTTCAAGTCGAGAGAAAGCGAAAAATTTAACAGTATTTTGTAAATGGTACAACTCAATCCCATTGCTGTTTTTGGTGCCCAAAAAAATACCAGTACCATTTGACAGAAATTTTTCACCAAAATTTTCGTACAAATGGTAAGCGCTCTTTAATACAGATACAGCAACATGATGGCATTGATGTTGATGATAACAATGACGATGATGATGATGGTGATGGTAGCATTCACTGGTTTTAAATTGTCTGGTTTACTGTAACGATGAGAGCTTGCTGTAATAGCATTGGCTATATTATGATGACAATATTAATGCATGTAATTGTGTTTTTTGCTTATTCAGGACATGCTTGAACAAATAGCTACATGTGAAAAAGTATTTGAAGTTAGCAAGGCCAACAAGGTATTAATTATTTAAATACCTGATGAGCTATAAAACTGCAATTTGACTATAAATTTCCTGGCTAGCAGAGGTCTCTCACAATGAGTCTCTCTCGTCGTGAGAGACCTCACAGCCAGCAGGGAAACTATAAGTGAAGTTTTTTTGGTTGTTTGTGCTGTGAGTTCCCTTTTGAAAGAGCCTTTGTTTGCAATTTTTTGCCTTATTTTTAGGCAGGTCATCATAATTATTCACATAGTAGCTTCCAAATGAGTTCAATTTTTTGGCCAGTTTTGTTACTCATTTCATCTTCCTCTTCCCTGTTCCACATTTGCTGCTTTTGTTACCTTCCTCTAACCCCATTCCCTGTTAATTCAGTACCTGCAGGTCTTATTTGGGAGGCCAATGGCTGGATTGTATGGAAAGAACCCTAAATACCAAAGCATACAATCCCTATTTTAGCTATGTTGGTCATCTGTATGACTATAGAATGCATTATTACAATATATAAATGTTTCTTGATCACCACAACATAATTATTGACAACCAACCAAGGCCTTAAAAAACTTTTATGATCATGCTCACTTCACCACGATCATGACATATATTTAGGTCATATGGTGGTGACATCAAGTCATATACATTCATGCCTCCTTCATCCTTCCCCGTCAGACTCGAAGAGGAAATTTAGCGGCCACACTTTTGTTCCAAGTAGACCCTGGTGTCTTGGTCCATTTTTGTTGGGTTTTGCTGGATAGGAGCAAGGGCGGCACAGTTGGTTAGTGCGCAGCCTTTGGTGTGCGAGGTGCCAAGTTCGATCCCTGGTGACATCTCTCCTTTCTGTGTAGCTTTGACTAGTTTTAAACACCCTTAAAATGGAGAATTGATGGAGAGAGGGGGGTAAAATGAGGGCACCCATCAACCTCAAGTTAATCAGTTATTACTGTCACGAGTTATTGATGTAAAATAAGGTTGCTTTTCCTTTACCTTTTACCTTTATGCCCCTGTTGCTAAGATGCTGCCAAATGAATGTAGCACATTCTTAATAAAATTATTTACGATTTTTCTTCTAACTTTTATTTTTCACAGAAAGAGTTCCTTGATCACTTGAAAAAGGCTCTGACAAGTACTAAGAATTTGACTGAGAGTGCAGCTGTTGTATGTGTCAAACTATGCAAAGTTGCAACTTATATGAAACCTGAAGACAACTCTGTTCTGTGCTTTCTCGTGGTTACCATGCTGAATGAATTAAAGGTACTTTCTCAGTAGTGGTATAGAAACGCTTTGATAAGTTTGATGTTGGATTTGTTATCATGTTTTAAAAGAGAGGTTGGTGGAGAAGCAACTTGGATAGTGGTAATGAATAAAAATTATGTGAAAGTCATGAAATGGAAAAAATTTTGTTCATCACTATGACCATGTAAGCAGATGCAATCACAAAGTGCCCGGAATTCATCATGGGCAAACCCATATGGCTCAAATGTCATGCCATTTGAGATACCTGGCCCATTCACTCATTGCTTGTCCAGTTTTGCATGACCACCCTGGAATTTTGGGAATTTTGGAAAGATAAAAGGCAGTCAGCAAGTTTAATCAGACTATCATGTCTCTTTCAGGGTCTTTTGTTCAATGTCAGCAAACCATTTTCTTTAGGATCTGGAAGCCTTGTCACAACAGAGAACCTTATGGTTGACTGCTTTGTGTCCAGTTTCCGAATCAACTACAGGAACAACCAACACTTTGATATGTGTCTTCAGCCAAGCTCTCCCTTCATCTACCAGCTTGCATATGTTAAAGGAACTTACTCCATAGTGAAACAGGTATAGAGAAGAGTGGCATGTCATTCTATTGTTGTCAGATTTTGATTCAGCGGCTTATCTAACAGACAACTAATAACATTGGGATGTAATTAACCAATCAGGTCAACAACCAGAGTTTAATACCATCAACTGATGACTTAATAAACTTGATTAGTGACACTGATGACATCTTAATGACCAACTGAGGCACGTACTTTATTGTCTCAAAGGACATCTGGTAAAGTTGTGTGATGGATGGTCAAAATGACATTTAAAATTTAATTGGACAAGTGAGGAAGACTTGTAATAATGTTGAAATATTTTTCTCCCTAAAACTCATTGCTCTGAGTCTGTATATTATGTTGTTTATTGTGTTTTCTCAAGCGCAGGAAGATAATATTATTATTAGCATGTTGCATTTCTGATTAAAATAAAAAAAGGTAAAGGTGCACACGAGCCAAAGGCCCACACGGCCAGAGCTTATACCAGTTTCTGTAGCATGAAGAATGCCGAGGAGTATTGTTACTCCCCCTTGGACAGGATGCTAGTCCATTGCAGGGTTACCCCCAACAGTAGGTCGCCAGTACCCATTTTGTACATTGGGTGAAGAGAGATAAAGTGGAGTAAAGTTCCTTATCTAAGGAAACAGGCAAGGCTTGAATCTCGGACCTCCAGATCCAGAGTTCGAGGTGTTAACTGTTCAGCCACACACACCTTTGATTTAAATAGATAACTAAAACTGCTTGTCTTTTAGTCTCCGTTAAGGTGGTGGCCAAAAGCAGAACTGCTTCATCCCAAATCACAAGCTCTGAGACAACTTTTCTTGGTATGTTTACCTTTTCAGCAATATATTTTCCTCTTATTTTTCACTTTTGCAGTTTCTTTCAATCAGTAGCTTTGTCTCAAAGTTCTTTAATTGTTTCTTTTCAATTGTGCAGAGTATCTGTAGCAGGGTTCAGAATGCAGAACAGGAGGGACAACAATCAAGGCTGAGTCAGGTTAGATGAATAACACAAAAAGAGTAGAAAACTTGTTTTTTTAGAGATCGCTGCAGTGATTATAATCAGTTTAGGTGCTGAGTAATGTTAAAATCAACCAAAAACAAGAAACAGACAGTAATGTCATGATGAAAATTTCAGAAATGAGTGAGAAATCAATAAAAATTCTTATAAAACATCTGTTGTTAAAGCATCATTATAGTGTAACTAGTAACAGTTGACACTACAGCTGCCTGGACAGTTAATTTTTGTTCTTTTTTATATTTTGATTGAAATCCTGTAATCCATTTCCTCGTAACGATTTTAGTTGTGTTTTCCTGATGATTGACAGTTATTATAAGTGGTTTTGTTTATTCAATTTAGTTTGGCTGCATCAAACGTATACAGTTTGTTTGATTTTTCGGTGTCTAAACAGTGTAGACAGTTGTTTTTGTTTTGTGATTAGTTGGTTAGTTCAATAAATGGGCTAAGAATTGTCTGCTTATCCCGCACCGCATTTCTGGTTGTCAGTTTTTTGGGTGCGGGGAATTCAAGAAACACAATTACACGCACCCTTTAACTTCATGCTGCGCTTAACGAGTGTCTTTTGGTCCATAACTTTCAAAACAGCCGCTCAACAGAATGTCACTGATAACACATAGGGCAAAAGAGTATTGAAGTATGACTGTACAATAAAATAATGTCATAAAAACTACCTTAGTGGTCCCTTGGGGATTTTTTGTTTTACTTCATCCTAACCATCTCTTACTTGGGGCGCGAACAATAGAAACATCATCATTACCCAACAATTCCATGTTCATGTCATGTTCAAGCAAATTGCAATTTTTTTTTTCTGGCATACTGACTGTGTATTCAACTGTAAGTACTTTCCTTAATAAACAGATGAGCTACTAGAGTGCCTCCTCGGGAAGGCAAAATTCCTGCGGGGGCAATAAGATAAATTCTTGTTGTTTTCCAGATCTACAAAGTTAAAGATAAGAAGCACAAGGAAGATGAGATTCATTCCAGCAAGAAAAATGACAAAGAGTTATTGCTGTGGCTGGTGAAGATATTCCATGCTGACCCTGTTTTTGCATTTCATGTAATTTGATCAATAACTGATAAGTTTTGGTGCAATAAATTAGTGAAGTATTGTTAACAAAGTTGGAAAAAAGCTATGAAAATGAAATGTTCATTGTGGTTGATTTAATGAACTGAAAATATTCATTGCTCTCACCAGGGTATTGTATGTGCAAGAAATGTGGCATATTGTTCTGAATAAACTGCAGATACCTACATTTCCAAACACATATCAAATTAAAGCTACAAAAGGTGGCTCTTGAAGTGTACCAACCATTTTGTAGTAAAGTACTTTGAAAATTTACCAGAACATTTTGGGAATAAGGCTAAAATATTTGGGGTTATTGTGCAAGAAATGTCTTTTAGGAGAAATGTTATGTGAAATAAAAAATTACCCCAAACTCTTTTTTTGTGTACATGTTGTACTATCATCCCTGGAACTTTGAAGTTAATAATTGAACAAATTTCCTTTGAGAAAATAGTTTTGAAAAATCGATTGTCAGGTAAATTCATTTTTTGTCATTACCTCTGGTAAAAAAAAACACAGTTCATTGATGGAGGAGATCCCATTTCATTTTATTTTGACTCTTTGTCTGTGTTAATAGCACATTAAAATTATTTGTTTTTTTTTCTTCTTCATAGAATCCTGATCTTCATGGATGGGAAATTCAAAAGAACTCAACTCAATTGATAATGGGCGTTGTTAACCTCATGTTAACTCCAACACTACCAGTTGAAATCAGACAGGAGGCAGCTGAAGTAATTTCACCATATTTATATTCATTTGTTACAATTGCTATAAGAAAAGAAAATACAACACTATCTCAAGTTAATGGTGCATCAATTCATAAATTTTAGCCCTACACATTGACTTTGGCCTTTAGAATGTTTGGTTTGATTGCTAGATGTTATCTTTAAACATCAGATTTAGCCTTGGCTTTTGTAAAGTAAGGTGCACTTATTTTTTGGCTGTTTTATTTTTAAAATTATTTTTTTCAGACCCTTCTATGCTTCTTTCAAACGGATTACATCGAGATGTGGAACCCTGTGGCACCCATTGCCACATTCTGGGAAATCAGGTACAATGTAGTTCTGGCATGTTAGTCTAGGCATAAAGCAAAAAGCATTGAACCTGCAAAGTGGGGCAGAAAACGTGCTTTCAAGGCCCAAGATTATGGACAAGTGTTTAAGCCCAGCAGCCAGCAAGATTGTGCCCTCTCTCTGATAGGACACCAGTACAGGGCTGGAAAGGTTTAGTAAGCAGCACTGCCCCACCCAAAAAGTTAGTTAGACAAAGATAATAATAAATTCACAATATTAGAAAGAACTTCTTTACGACATTTTAAGTGGAGCCTTGAATTTGCAGCATATTAGAAGGAGTTGATATTCTTGTTTCCTCTCCCCATCCTTCCCCTCCCCCACCAAAAGAGGCCGACCTCTTTGTAGGTTATGGCGGGTACTTACACATGACCAGGTAGATAAACACAAATGTTTCACTTGCATAAATCCAAACCAAATAGGATTCAGATTTTGCTCTTGAAAAAATTCAAGAAGCCCCTTTTCACATTTTTATTTTTAAAGCACTTCAAGACCTTATAAGATTTAAATTTTCTACTAAAACTTCATTTTGTATTTTGCTTTGTTTACTGATTCCACTAACATTTTGCTCATTCTTGTTTCATGTCAAGTTCAAACGTCATGGTGTCAATTGCTGAGTTTCTAATTGGTCACAGCAGCCATGGAGCTGTTCTACTAAGATATTTGCGAGATCTGAATTTTGGAAAAAATGAATTTCTAAGAAAACATAAGGTACATGTATGTCTATTGAGGTTTATTTTCTATAATCGTGTAACTCTATCCTATTGTTCTGTAACCATTCAACTGAAACCCCTTTTGGGAGTGAAGGTGTTCTTTCACATGTTATGCTTTGTTTTTCTTGTTGAAAAATGTTTTTTTCTCTTTCATAAACTGTATAACTGTCCTTTGGCTCTTGCAACTTCCTCCTTTTTGTTTTCTTTGTCTCAAGAAAAAAATTGGGTGTGAAAGAAACTATTGGGAGAGGGGAGGGAAGTTAATATGTGTTGCAAGTGTAGTATCTTTTGTGCCCATTATTTCACTTAAGACCAGCATTTAATGTCCCTTTTCTTAACAAAGTTTTGTTGTTTTTTTTGTGTTGTGTTTACAGGAGCAAGCTTCTATAGGCTGCCACACTCCAATTTGTACAATTTCTCAAACTAAACTTGAAGTATGTGTAATGCTTATAATTGTTTATCGTCATTTATTCACAGACTTGTCAATTTGAGCTTTGATATGAATCGTTGGAGTGGTTTTTGCCGAACTCACTTTACGTCTCTTCCTTTCTTATTTACAGGAGGTTTTCCTAACTTTCTTGTGGAGTCCGGACGTGGAAACTGTACTTATCTCACTCTCTTGTTTTGGTCAAATGTGCAATGAAATAGACCTTGTACAAAGTTCTGAAAATCTTAATGAGCCTCCAAGTGCTCAAAATATTGAAGTGTATCGCAACCTGTCTGAAGAGGCTACTAAGTTTACAGCTGGTGAGTACTACATGAAGGATGCCTTCAACATATGGACACTCTCTATTACAATCAAATTTCTTGGTGAGAGAGAGGCGACATGTCATATAATCCCTTTCCTTTTTGCCTTGTTCTTTTGGCATTTTTTTTAATGAGGTATGACTGTACATGCGAGCCCTGCAAAATACTGCAGTATAAATGTCAAAATAGCATTGCTGTACAGTGTAAGGACGGTAAAATAGATGAATCTCTGCCAAAATTATCATCATTGGCATCTTGTGTCACTTGCCTATAAATTGGCAAGGAAAACAAATTAATTACAAGGCTGTTCAGTAGCAGCTTGTCAACAGTGGTAGTCTACATATAGCCTGCACCACAGACAATACTAAACTCTAGTTAAGTCCGTTTGCGAAACAGTGCCGAAATTCTTGTTCTGGGCCTCCACCTCTGTACCAGGATTTGAGTATGCGCCATGCCTGGCCTGTTAAAAAGGCCATTGTCGATTTGTCAATCAGTGTGAAAGGAAGTTCAAAACACACTTCTGGTAATTGAGTCCATTGGCCGGGCACAGAACAAGGATCTCAGCACTGCCTCGCCACTTGCAGACCTTTCTAACCAAGGTTAAATTACATCAGGGACGCAGGCTATCTACATAATTGTTGTTCTGCTTTTTGGACGTTTTGCTTAAGAACATGTCATACAAACAACGATTGCCAATTTTTGGGTTGGCCAATGTGGCTAATGAAGCTTAGCTCATTCTCTGTGAAATGCTATTCTTTAGCAGTAGTGCGCATAGAGTGTTATATAGTGAATTGCTGTAAACTTTTCAGAAGTGTTATTTTGATTTATTGCTCGGGTATGGCGCTCTGAAGAAAAAAGGTACTGTACCAGACTTAATTGCACATAAAGAAGATGGAGATAATGTACTATTTTAATTTACTGCAAGGTAGAAAAATTTGAGGGATCTCTTGGCCATACTTATCAAACTGCCATTTCCTTTCAGGGAGAGCTGCTCTTCAGAAGCGTATTATGGCTTTGCTCAGACAACTTGACAGACAAACAGCTGGCAACGTGCAGGTATATGTCAGTATTTTCCACATATTTTACTTGCATTATAATTGTTTTCACTTCATATGAACCCTTCCACTAGCAGACGAAGTTATGGCGTTAAATTCGCGGACAAAATCCTGTTGTGTAACCTGTCAAACAAACAGTCTAGAGATGTTGGTATTTACAGCAACCAGCCATTGTACTGATAGTACGGCTTACCAGTTTTCGTACCGAAAAATAACCCTGAAGAGGAAGCAGAACAGGAGTAGAGCAAATGGCTGTTTCCACGGGTTTCTCAGTTATCTCTTGACATAAAAAGTCTTAAAATTAGCTTTTTGGTTCGGTTTGGTCAAATTTAGACTCTCTTAACCAAGCTTTATTCTCTTGCAATGTTATTTAAAATCTTTTAGAGCTCATAACATTAACTATGTTTAAAACAGTTCACTATTACCTGTTCTTCTCTCTAATAGGCCTGGGAAAGTACCTACTCGAAATGGCAAAGGTTGACCTATGATCTTGTAAATTTTGGTAAGGAGGAGTCTTCTGCCATGGATGTACAAAAATATTTAAGAAGGAAAGGAGTATCAAAACTCACCAATGACAATTTGCAGGTAGGAGTGTACTAGCTCTGAGCTTGATACCTACTCACTGTTATGTAATGTGGAAACGCAATGTGGGAAGTTACCATAAATGCTCGAATTAGCACCCAAGCGGACTTACTGTATGAAAGTAGTCAAAGGGGATCCCAATTTGAAGGGGGCTTATTTAGCTTTTCAAATTTCGGCCTCAAAATTACATTGTATTTATTTTCAGTAAGTNGTAATGTGGAAACGCAATGTGGGAAGTTACCATAAATGCTCGAATTAGCACCCAAGCGGACTTACTGTATGAAAGTAGTCAAAGGGGATCCCAATTTGAAGGGGGCTTATTTAGCTTTTCAAATTTCGGCCTCAAAATTACATTGTATTTATTTTCAGTAAGTGCAAGCAGTATTTGTTTTCTTGGGAAGGTCTGGGGTTACTTATGTCAATGTAATGCTTAATTGACAATTTTAGCCTCAAGGGGGTACCCCTCCTCGAAGGGGGCACTCATTTGAAGCAGGGCACTAATTCATGGATTTGCGGTAATTAATCCTCTGGCCAGTAAGAAAATTGTGGCCAGGACCTCTCAACCATTGCTGTTTTAGGAATATAATTTGAGACCGTGGAAACAATATTTGTTTGTTCTTTAGATGTTCTTTTTTAGGGATATCCACCTGAAAGGTTTTCTTTTGTAGAATTTTTTACCGTAGATTGTAAAATCTTCCTGATGCATTGTAAGGCAACCTGACAGTGAAATGACCTTATTAACTTTCTTCCTATTTGAAATTATGTGTAGGCATTATTAACTGAGTGGACGTGCATGACTGGGTTCTTGTGTTCACTGGGGGGTGTGTGTTTGACCCCTTTACAAGCCATCAGGTAACGGTTTCTATGTATAAAAGAGATTGTACTTTGTGTACTTTTGAACTCAAACCAGAAAGCACAGGTATCAACCATCTTATAAACAATAAGTGTTTAAAATTTGTTTATTTATTTTCGTTTGTTATTTTGGTTTTTTCTCTGTCGTCTTTAGAAGATACAGCAGAAGTCTTCCCTCATCGGTACACGCTGTCAATCATTCACGAAAAACAGAAAGTGATACTGTGACAAAGTAAGTTACCCTTGCCGTTTGTTTACAAATTTGCGTGGTTGCTGTTTGTGTGGCACGTGGGGCCAAATACTGCTCATTTCCCTCATTTTAATTTCTATTTAAGGTTTATGCAGGACTTGCTGAGTCTTCTGGTTTGCGCCAATGAAAAGACTGGTTTACAGGTTAGCATCAGTATGAGAAGTAACCTGGTGTATTGGCAAATTTGAGGCTGTGCATGTGACAGGATCGGTGTTGTGTTAAATAACCATAGGACTGTTTTGGGGATTCAATTGCTTTTTTTATTGGTTATTCGGTTATTATAAGTAAATAACGATTTAGAGGTAGCACATCCACGAATGGTTCTTCGTCTACCATTTCTGGTAGAATTGGAATTTGGTAATGTTGGTTTATGAAGAGAGGGGAATACCGGAGTACCGGGAGAAAAACCTCTCGAGGCAAAGGAGAGAGCCAACAAAAAAAATCAACCCACATATGGCATCAATGCGGGGATTTAAACCCGTGTCACATTCGAGGCAGGGGACTGCTCTCACCACTTCGCCATCCGTTGAACCTTGCTTATGAGGTTTTGCAAGAAATGGTCCCATAGTGCAGTGCAAATCAAAACTGACCCAGTCTCAGGCGTGACCTCAAAATGGTCAATTTCAGTGGCTGTTATTCATGTAAAGTAGGGGGCCTTTAGGTCATAAATCATGACTTTGACCGCTCTGCCTGGGTTGCCAAAAACTGTGTCCAATAGCCAGGTAGTTCTGTCACGTATTGGACTATGACATGTTTCTGTATAAGGTAGTGAGGACGTGCAAAATGTGGTGGCATGCTACACTGTCTTCGCTTAAATGTTCTGGTCTCAAGCTACATGCTGAAAGCCATAATGATACGTTACTTGTTTTTCGATAGTTTAATCCTTTAAATCATTATATCAGTGCGTGTTATTCTCAACACTGTTCTTCATACATTTCCCTTATGCTGAGAAGAATTCGTTTGACAATTAACTTGCTGAACACTACAGGCCGTTATTTTGTATTAGTAGTGATACTTCAGACAAAAGAGGAATTCGATGCTTGTAACCCTTACGGGTTAAAGGATTCGCAAAATTAATAATATTTGCAGACATGCTGTTCAATGTTCACTTTCTTACTGTTCTGTTCTTCTGTCAGATACGCAGCACAGTAAATGAGGTGGTTGGTGTTGAACTAAGTCAGAAACTGTACCCCATATTACTGACGCAGATTATGCGAGTTGTTAATAGCTTCTTTACAACCTCTGGTCAGGTAAATAAGTAAGGTACCTTGTTATAGTAAATTAACGGTTCATGAACTTAAGTTTACTTTAAGTCGCTCTAATTTTTGTTAATGTTAATTTCCGTGCCTTTATTTAAGTGGAGCGTTAATTTCCGCGACCTTAATTTCAATTGCTGTAGCTCCAAATTCTCGACACACCTCTAACATTCTTGACACCAAACAAAGAGGATTATTAAATCAAGGTGGAGATCCGCCAGAAACGGGGAAACTAGAGAACCCTCGAAGTGTCCAGATCTTTTTCCCTTGACCCCCTTCGCACGTTTTAGGAAAGAATCACGAACTTAACTTTGTTCCTATTGTCTCAAGACGTTTTGCTTCTTTGAAAACGTCGCGTTAATTTCCTTTATTTTGAAATGTTACCCTCTCTTTTGCGTTAATTTCCTTCATTCGAAATTCGTTTTCCACTAAGTTGACGTTAATTTAAGTCGCGTTTACTTCCAATAACTTAATTTCATGAAGTATTAACTTCCTGTAATGATGTAGTTAGTTGAATATGAGTAAGGGTTTGTTTTGATGCTTAGTCTTGCATAGAGAGTAATGCCTATAATTTCCTGAGTTAAGAGTTACATTGTGGAAGATTTCGTTCCTGGATGAAGACAAGCTTCTTGCAAATTAAGTATTCATTTTGTTTGCTATTTGTCGAGGCTATGAAGGTTTTGGAGACTAGTCAGGTAAAACCAGCCATTGTTGATGTGGGGTCATGCGTGTGCGTGTTTTGCATTTGATGTTAGCTAGTGGAGGTATGGGATTATTGAACCAGCACAGTCTGCATGGCGTTATTCATTGATATGATCTGGGTTTTGATCCATGTCTTCAGTGATGTTGCTGCTTTTGTTGGCTTTAACACAGGCTGTAGAGTTTCCTTGTATTAGTGCTCTGCGTTGTCCTTCTTAGTTTATCAGACAGTGGGAACTCTTTAATTTCGTTGCTGGTATCCTGATTTTTTCCTGTTCCTTATTTAGGTCATAGTTCAAGAAAAACACACTCTTTTTACAGAACAGGCAAGTCCCCTTATCTTTACTACCACAATAAACCAACCATCCAAGAGGGATGCTGTTGACAATTTTTTAGGGGATGTGCTACCCTTAACCCTATTCCAGACCCCAATTGGTCATCTTCGATATCCTTTTTCTGACATTCCTCCCCCTACGCGCGCCAAAAAAAACATCTGTACCTGTTTCTAACTTCATCTCTCTCTTACCTGGAATTCATGTGTCAGTAATAACAGTTTTTCAAAAGGTGGATTCCTTAAAAGGCACTCAAACCAACTTCTGACCAAATAGGTTGGACAACTGAAAATGCCATTTTTCAATTTAAACAGCTCAGATGCTATGTTTTCGGGTTGGCAAATACCTAAAAGGATATACTTGTATAGGGTATGCCAATAAACAACCTCACATATTTGTTTTGGCTTGTAATTTTTCCTAGGAGGGGCACATTTACTTACAATTAAAACTGTTATTGGTTGTTTGTGTCGTAGCACTGCTTCTAGTAAACTTGATGGTCACTCTGTAAACCCAACCATTTGCCTTATTGAATGGCGTATATATTTCTCTGAGTACTACTTAAAACAGACATTTCTTCTGGACTGTCCTCTACTCTGATCAAACGCGGTTGGTAAACTTGTGGCCTTGATACGTGGTTTAGACAGCGATTATAAATATGGAGTCCTGTCAGGATTATGCCCCAACCTTTACCATTTGGCTTTTGTAACACTCCTATTACATTCCAACGACGTGTCTTCCCCAATCATTGGTTTCTTTTTTTATGTCTAGATAATTGTGATCATTAAACACATTTTGGAAAATAAACTTGGATTGAAGGATGGCTTTCAGATGAGTGGCATTGATGCTATGATTTTATCGTTTGTCAGGTTAGTTAATTTGTTAAATGGTTCATAAGGCAATCTATGACTAGTCTTGTCAAGCATCTGAAGACTTATAAAGGCTTTATAAAAGTTTGCAACTTTTGAGACTAAAGATTATTTATAGAACATTTCTTCTACTTAACTTCTCCCATTCATTGAGGAATTTGGGGCTGGTACCACTACAGGATGCAAACATTTACTCCACAAAGGAAAGTATCCACTGCAACTCTGCTACTTGGCGGACTTCACAACATGAAAACATGCGGTCACCATGATCAGGTTATTGTTGTAATGACCATTCATTGCGAAAAGGAAAATTATCTATTTGCAACTCTGCAACTCTGAGGATTTCGTAAAATTAGAGGGACTTAACTTTATTGTAGTCATCAAAGTCACGTTATTAATGTTCAGATTATTAGGCGTGAGTAGAACGTGATGGATTATATTGGACTCTTTTCTGCATAGGTATGCAAGAAATCTCCCTGTAAGCCAACAGTGTCTCCAGATCAAATGCAAACTTTGTCAGCTAATTGACGTGGTGAGTCTTTGAAATACAAACAGCATGTTGCAGATATAGTCTACAATTGTAAGGTGATGTGCGCTTCTGTTGGGACAATTGTAATCTAACTAGTACTTACGACAGTGTTAGCTCTAATCGGAAAACTAGAGTACATTGACGTGTAGAGAGGTGAGTTATGTGTTGGTTTGATTTGGCGCTCACTAAGGTTGGTTTCACTTTATAAGTCAGATATTTATATTATAGAAGCAAGTATATATTCTGAAAGTCTCCTAACCTCAAATTTGCAGTTCATTATCTTCAAGATGGGCATCAGGGGGCTTGTACTTGAGAAGTGTTCGCCTCATAGAGGTTTAAACAAATAGACTTATATGACCGTTTATGACCAAATCTAAGCGTGCAGTTGGGCAAAGGTTGCGTTTTATGGAGGTGATCATTACGAGAGAGTTGACTCTATAGAAGGTTATTAAAAGGCTGTAGTAAAAGGTCTCCTGTTTGTTTTGGTATCCTTGGAAATAGGTGATGGCAAGGAGAGACGAGCTTCTCCTTCATCAAGAAGTGAAGCTTAGGAATAAACTAGTGGAATACCTCACAGACTGGGTGCTTCCGTCAGCTGAACATCATCAGAGTATACCAGCAGAGCTTTCAGTTTTGTCCAAGTAAGTTAGCATGCCTTTTTCTGGATGCCTACGACTGGGTTAGTTGCCGCTGCTAAAAATTCTCTGAATGTCTTCAGAAATCCCCCCCGTTTTAGCAAAGCCCTTTATAAACATGGACTCGCCTGTAATCCCTTGAGATCTATGCATAATGCCATGTGAAGCAATCGGCAACAAACTTAATTGGGGCAATTTTCCCTAAAGAGTCTCTCTGACGTTTTGCCAACTTAAAAAGGGGAAAATAAAGCTTTCCCTCCCCACCACCTCTTTGCAATTCTGTAACTGATTGCAGCGTGCACGCACTTGGCTAATAACGTGCATTTTGGTTTTGATCTGTAGAGAACTTGATGCAACTGTGATGCGCGCAATAGCTTCATTGCTTTCTGGATTACCTCTACAACCTGAAGGAATGGAGACGGATCTTGACCTTGCAGAGGCCAAGTCACAGCTCTTTCTCAAGTTAGTAAAGTCGGTTAAAATTTGTTTTTTGTACGTTATCAAAGATTTGTCGACGTTTATCCTTCAGTGACGGCCAGCGAGTAGCGAAAAAATCGCATTTATCACCAATTCCTCTTTTTGGACTGGTTTTTGTCTAATTACCACAAGAATAGCAAAAAATGAGTTTTGCAACAAAAAGGGCATATTTTCCGACCAATCGGATATAATTAAACAGCTGTTTTGTTTTTCGCGCATGCGAATGTTTTTCGGTCTTTCTTTTTCGTTCTCTTTTTTTGCTTTGCCTTTCTTCTCTATATGGAGTTTTGCTGCCCCCTGCATCTTCTTCCTTTTGCATGGAGTTCTGGCGGGCAAACTGTTTAGGAAAAGGACAAATTGCTTTTTCTTAACTCGTGAAATCGCAGCTTTGTTACCTAATATAAATTTGTAAAACTAATTTAAAACTAAACAAAACAAACACCTGCATTGCTTGGGCATGAAAAGTTATCGAATGTTCAACAAAAAAAATTACTTGCGAAACATTGACCTGCCTTTTTTTAGGTTAGGGTAGTTTCTATCACCATAATGTCAATATTGTGTACTTCAATGAGTTACATGTTAGACCAGCGCACCTAAATGATGGAGGAGAATCTCTTATAAGTTCAGCAAGTTGTAACAATACTTTTGTTATGCATTCCAAATTAGGTACTTCACTCTGTTTATGAACTTAATGAATAGAGAGAAAGGTACAGTACGGGCAAAGGAAAATGTTCATTATGTGGCATCACAAACGTTACATCAAAACACAGTGCTGGCCATGTCAAATCTGCTGAATGCCAATATCGATACTGGACTCATGTACGCAATAGGTAAGACCACAGAAAGGAGGGATATTTCTCTTCTCATAAGTTTGCTAACGTTGTTTTGTTGGATTGAACGAAATTACCTTAGTGCTTTGGTTCTTTCACAGGGCTTGGCTACCACGATGATCTTCAGACCCGAACTGTCTTCATGGAGGTCCTCACGAAAATCCTACAACAGGTGGGAAGTTCATCTGTAACCTAGCAAAGGCTATAACGACAGATGCTTTTAGTTACTTACAAGGGGTTTATTCCGAACCTTATGTATTCTATCGCGGAAGACCTTAAAAATCAATACTTCAATGAAGTCTGCAACATGACCCTTTTGCAATGCAGTACAACCGCGCGACTAAGAACCTGGATTTTCAAAACCTGTTAAGCTGAAATTTGAAACAGGTTCTTATTTTCTAAAATCTGTGAAAAAATTCTGTACACTTGGGCAAATAAGATAATTCAGAATTCTTCTTTGGAGACATATAGGTGCCTTATCACTCCAACTGCGATGTAAATGCCAATGTTTAAACCAAGTAAAATTGTTACTGATACAATAACAAATTAAATAAGTTTTACTTTTTCTAATTTGGGTTGTAGATTTTATATGAGGAATAAGCTAAACCACTAAATACTCTTAGCTATGATTGTTGGGTTTTTTTCTTCAGGAAAAGAAAACATATTTAAGAACCCAAATAGCCTAAACTTGTGCTAACTACCATTTATATAAGAACCTGTTTAGGCTAACTTGGAAAATCCAGGTTCTTAGTCGCGGGTTTTTACTGTATGTCCCAGACATATTTTGGACCAGGAGAACAGTCAACCTCTTTCATGAAGTTTTTGGTTTTACTCCAAACGATTAAACCTTTTTTGACCCAGAACTGACTATAAAATCAATTGTTACGATTTCCTGGACTAGCAATGAATGGATTCCTATTCAAGGTTGCCTTTAACTTGCGTAGAAGACAGATTTCACTGAGAATGTTTCTCAGACAAAATAGGGGACTGCGGCCTCCTTGGCCTGCCATAGAATCCGCTTGTAGTCTGATTTCAAGGTATAGAGTGAAAGTTAAGTCGGCCGGCAGTTGGACGTTCCTAACTATGCAATAATTCTCTCTTAGGGTACTGAATTTGATAATTTGGCAGATACAGTGTTGATGGACAGGTTTGATAGACTGGTAGATTTGCTGACTCTGACAGGAGAGGGAGGCAAACTTCCTATTGCTTTGGCTATGGCCAGTGTAACTCCTGCTCAACAAATGGTAAGTTGATGGCGGAGACCAATTTATGACAGATGATTTGTCACTCTAACTGTTACATCCTTGGAAGACGTTAAGCTTAGGAATAAACTAGTGGAATACCTCACAGACTGGGTGCTTCCGTCAGCTGAACATCATCAGAGTATACCAGCAGAGCTTTCAGTTTTGTCCAAGTAAGTTAGCATGCCTTTTTCTGGATGCCTACGACTGGGTTAGTTGCCGCTGCTAAAAATTCTCTGAATGTCTTCAGAAATCCCCCCCGTTTTAGCAAAGCCCTTTATAAACATGGACTCGCCTGTAATCCCTTGAGATCTATGCATAATGCCATGTGAAGCAATCGGCAACAAACTTAATTGGGGCAATTTTCCCTAAAGAGTCTCTCTGACGTTTTGCCAACTTAAAAAGGGGAAAATAAAGCTTTCCCTCCCCACCACCTCTTTGCAATTCTGTAACTGATTGCAGCGTGCACGCACTTGGCTAATAACGTGCATTTTGGTTTTGATCTGTAGAGAACTTGATGCAACTGTGATGCGCGCAATAGCTTCATTGCTTTCTGGATTACCTCTACAACCTGAAGGAATGGAGACGGATCTTGACCTTGCAGAGGCCAAGTCACAGCTCTTTCTCAAGTTAGTAAAGTCGGTTAAAATTTGTTTTTTGTACGTTATCAAAGATTTGTCGACGTTTATCCTTCAGTGACGGCCAGCGAGTAGCGAAAAAATCGCATTTATCACCAATTCCTCTTTTTGGACTGGTTTTTGTCTAATTACCACAAGAATAGCAAAAAATGAGTTTTGCAACAAAAAGGGCATATTTTCCGACCAATCGGATATAATTAAACAGCTGTTTTGTTTTTCGCGCATGCGAATGTTTTTCGGTCTTTCTTTTTCGTTCTCTTTTTTTGCTTTGCCTTTCTTCTCTATATGGAGTTTTGCTGCCCCCTGCATCTTCTTCCTTTTGCATGGAGTTCTGGCGGGCAAACTGTTTAGGAAAAGGACAAATTGCTTTTTCTTAACTCGTGAAATCGCAGCTTTGTTACCTAATATAAATTTGTAAAACTAATTTAAAACTAAACAAAACAAACACCTGCATTGCTTGGGCATGAAAAGTTATCGAATGTTCAACAAAAAAAATTACTTGCGAAACATTGACCTGCCTTTTTTTAGGTTAGGGTAGTTTCTATCACCATAATGTCAATATTGTGTACTTCAATGAGTTACATGTTAGACCAGCGCACCTAAATGATGGAGGAGAATCTCTTATAAGTTCAGCAAGTTGTAACAATACTTTTGTTATGCATTCCAAATTAGGTACTTCACTCTGTTTATGAACTTAATGAATAGAGAGAAAGGTACAGTACGGGCAAAGGAAAATGTTCATTATGTGGCATCACAAACGTTACATCAAAACACAGTGCTGGCCATGTCAAATCTGCTGAATGCCAATATCGATACTGGACTCATGTACGCAATAGGTAAGACCACAGAAAGGAGGGATATTTCTCTTCTCATAAGTTTGCTAACGTTGTTTTGTTGGATTGAACGAAATTACCTTAGTGCTTTGGTTCTTTCACAGGGCTTGGCTACCACGATGATCTTCAGACCCGAACTGTCTTCATGGAGGTCCTCACGAAAATCCTACAACAGGTGGGAAGTTCATCTGTAACCTAGCAAAGGCTATAACGACAGATGCTTTTAGTTACTTACAAGGGGTTTATTCCGAACCTTATGTATTCTATCGCGGAAGACCTTAAAAATCAATACTTCAATGAAGTCTGCAACATGACCCTTTTGCAATGCAGTACAACCGCGCGACTAAGAACCTGGATTTTCAAAACCTGTTAAGCTGAAATTTGAAACAGGTTCTTATTTTCTAAAATCTGTGAAAAAATTCTGTACACTTGGGCAAATAAGATAATTCAGAATTCTTCTTTGGAGACATATAGGTGCCTTATCACTCCAACTGCAATGTAAATGCCAATGTTTAAACCAAGTAAAATTGTTACTGATACAATAACAAATTAAATAAGTTTTTCTTTTTCTAATTTGGGTGGTAGATTTTATATGAGGAATAAGCTAAACCACTAAATACTCTTAGCTATGATTGTTGGGTTTTTTTCTTCAGGAAAAGAAAACATATTTAAGAACCCAAATAGCCTAAACTTGTGCTAACTACCATTTATATAAGAACCTGTTTAGGCTAACTTGGAAAATCCAGGTTCTTAGTCGCGGGTTTTTACTGTATGTCCCAGACATATTTTGGACCAGGAGAACAGTCAACCTCTTTCATGAAGTTTTTGGTTTTACTCCAAACGATTAAACCTTTTTTGACCCAGAACTGACTATAAAATCAATTGTTACGATTTCCTGGACTAGCAATGAATGGATTCCTATTCAAGGTTGCCTTTAACTTGCGTAGAAGACAGATTTCACTGAGAATGTTTCTCAGACAAAATAGGGGACTGCGGCCTCCTTGGCCTGCCATAGAATCCGCTTGTAGTCTGATTTCAAGGTATAGAGTGAAAGTTAAGTCGGCCGGCAGTTGGACGTTCCTAACTATGCAATAATTCTCTCTTAGGGTACTGAATTTGATAATTTGGCAGATACAGTGTTGATGGACAGGTTTGATAGACTGGTAGATTTGCTGACTCTGACAGGAGAGGGAGGCAAACTTCCTATTGCTTTGGCTATGGCCAGTGTAACTCCTGCTCAACAAATGGTAAGTTGATGGCGGAGACCAATTTATGACAGATGATTTGTCACTCTAACTGTTACATCCTTGGAAGACGTTATGGTGTTGCCATTCAAATGAAACCTCTTTGGCCGAACTTTTTCGTTGTACTATTTATTTCCTAGAATTATACAAAACGATGCTTTGAATTTTTGTGAATTTTCACATGGGACACTCTTGGGAGTGAAAGGATAAAGTGTATTCTGTCATCACCATTACATACGTTAAGTCGTAACCCTTGAGAGAATTTCTTGTCAATAGCATTATGATTTAAATATGCTGCAGATCAATCAGATCCAACGGAATCTTGACTTGATATTTACTAGTACTTTACATCGGAATATCGTACTTAACCTCTTTCTGCTAGTTAATTGGCTACTGATTCTCCAAATACTCGTATTCAATGAAGCCTAAGAGGACTTTCGTGCACGTTTATTTCTTTGATCGTTTCAGGATGAATTAGCTCATGTTCTAGTAACTCTGTTTGATGACAGACACATACTTCCACAGTTGTTGAAGAATCTGTTTGCAGTGGAGGTGTGTTGAACATGTTATTTTTATAGAGTCTACTGAAATGCGTAGTTTGAAGCTTTTTTTACATTTTTTGTCACAGTATTAACACTATGCAAGAAGCGTCGTACCTCTAAAATTTGTGGTGGATTTCTGTTCAAAATGTAGTGATACACGTCGACGATCTTAAAAAATGGCCTTTTTTCCTTGTTGCAAAATGTAGTCCTTTCCAGTGCACATCTCTGACGTCAATGGTGTAATGTTCCATAACAGTGGCAAAATGGCTGCCGTTGAGTTTTATCCTCCATTGTACCCATGCCATGGGAAAGAGTCGCGATAGTTTTTGCCCCTTTTTATTTATGTCTTTTACTTGAACTTGGGAATGCTGACGTTTGACGATTCATTTCAGAAGTGTTTTCTTATGTTGCTACTTATCTTTGTTTTCTAGTGACATTCAAATGTAATTTTTTCCAATGAAAAAAAATATTTTTTTATACTGAGATCTTTATTACAGGCTAAAATTGAATTGGGTAAGTGAATAAAACCTTGAAAAAAAAATGCATCGTGTATTTTTTTTAACTGTTTCAGGTGTACAGTGCTGAAGGAATGCAGACGTTATTTCGAGGCAACAGCTTAGCAAGTAAAACCATAACCTACTGCTTTAAAGCCTTTGGCGGTAATTACTTGCACACTCTGTTAGGACCTCTGATCGCTCCAATGTTCGAAGAACAAGTCTCCTTTGAAGTTGACCCCACAAGGTTAGTAGTATACAAGAGGTAATCTTTCTGATGCGGTAATCACCTGGGTGTTAAAGAGGCTGGATTGCTTAGATGGGTTGGGCTTGCTCCCTTTCAGTTTGGAGGCTTGTCCTTAGTAGGTTTTTTCCCCCACATTTTCTACGTTTTTCCTAAGGATTTACCGGTATTCTTGTAAATAGTAGTTTAGTAGGAACCGAATGACCCCAGGAATCTCTCAGTATCAAAATCTAAATCTGAGGTATTTATTCTTTCACTCAAAACTGAGTATTGTATGAAGCGGGCTTAGGTTGAATTCCTACTGCAGTCGGGTAGTTCTACAACTGAGTAAAGTAGTGCATCTAACGTATGGTAGTTCTCGGAATACGAGAAGATTTGTAAACATGCGAAAAGGTGGGTGGGATTCTTTTACTAAAAGGGAGTTGATTTTAATTCTCTTAACGTTGTTGGCGGATATAGAAACACTAGCGAATTAAAACAAAGTCATGCAGAAACCAGGAAAGAAACAAATCGGGTGTTTGATACGCTATAAACTGGCGTCTGTTAAAAAATTTTCCTTGTTTTGTTCTTTGTTTAACAGGCTTGAAAAAGGTCAAAATGTGGAAGAAAACAGAAATAACTTGATCAAAGCAGCACAGAAATTCCTCAACGAGATTGTTATTTCAGTGGAAAGGTACCTTCCTTGTACCACCTAAGGTCGTTCGTATTACCTAATGGTGCTCCTTTATAGTTTGTGTTAGATTTGTTAAGGTTCTGCTTAACTTAAAATAGCTGTCAGTTTTGAACATCTTGCTGGTTTAAAGCTATAACCAAGCTGCTCGTCCGACGTCGAGAACAACGAGCACTGTATTTCCTGAATCAATTTGCAACCGAAAGTTAAAATACAAACGAAAAGTTTGGAGAAGTGATAGGTAACTACATGTAGTTTAATATCGAATGGTCACACCATAGGATGGTAACTGTCTCTTGGTACAGAAAGATTGAATACCACTTGACTGTACCTTTAGCATAACCCCATAGGTAGGGGCTGTAATGCACCCTAATACTTACGCCATAGTAAGGCTAAAGGATCAGACAAATTACAGTAGCTCGTTCTAATAAGTAGCAGGTCTTTCATTTTTGTCGAATAATGGCTCACCCTCTCTTAATGGGTTTGCAGTGATGCTTTTTTGTTTTATTTGGATTTTTCAGCTTCCCAGTTCAATTACGGAGTCTGTGCAAGTGTTTGAAGGAGGTATGTTAATGGACCTGAGGCTTTTTTCCTGAAAGCTCAGTTTTGGACATTCCCCACTGCCCAGAAGCGTTTGTCTTTTGACTAAAATTTCCCTTTTTATGGAAAGAACATTTTCCTTTTGAGCTATCAGTTATAATTCTAGAATTCAAAGAAAACGACGAGGAGGTGTACCCGTCTTTTTAAGATAACGACATCGAGATGCCTCAATATTTGAGTGTTAATTTGATATAGCGTCTGAAATGATGAGGTTGTCTTAATGAGATTCGAGAGAAAAGCTCTCTTAGTTTTAATGAGGATCTCATCTTCAAAACCCTTTAACCGTTGCTAAATTATTTGAGTTCGAGGAGCGCTCATCAAGCTAAAATCGGAAGATTGTTATTTAGTTCCCTTACCCAAAGCTATTTACCCACAAGACTAATTTTTGGTGTTTTAGGTTGTTCACCAACGATTCCCAAAACACAGTTTAGAGGCAGTAGGCAGCGCATTCTTTCTGAGATTTATCAATCCGGCCATAAGTAAGTTTATGGTTACGATTAATTATTTTTCGTGTTAAACGGTTCATCATCATCCCCTCCCTCGCTGAGTACTGGATATGTCTTAAAAGCGCTAGTACTAGAGACCTTTCTAAGACGAGGACGACAACGAGGACGAGATTTTCTCAATACTAAGTAGTGCGCGCGAACCAGCGTCATTTTGGCGGGAAAACGTGATAGCAGTCGTCATTCAACTACGAGTTTTAGCGAAAATGTCTTAGTGGCGAAAACAAGTTACCAATTGTTAGGAATTTTATCATTTAGCGATTGGGAAAGTGCTTCACCTCCTTCAACGGAAATGAGCGTACTAACTTTTGTGGTGAGAAAAAGTACATTGAAACTTTCCGGGGTGTCTATTTTTAGATAATAGGCGGGAAGACATAAAATCAAATGTCGTCCTCGTCCTCGAATCTAAAGCTCTCTAATCTGCGCACACTGTTTATTATCCACCAACTTAAGGTTTAGGTAGAACACCATACTTGACAAGAGCCAGACCTTATGCTTCAGTTACGATAATGGAAGAAAGCTTACGTTTCATGTCGTTTTACAATTCTGACCGTTCTATATTTGATTAGCTACAATATCCTTTTCTCCTTCAGCTTCACCTCATGTCACAGGTATTATTGATCAAATTCCCTCGGAGGAACTCAGGAGAGGACTAATGCTGCTCTCCAAGGTAGCTTCCAAGTTGTTTTAATTCGTTGATTAACACTAGAGTGTTTAATGTTTACCTACACGTATAGAAATGATGAACAGTAAACGACAAGTAAAGAGGAAACATGGCCACGTGGTACAAATTCGCGTTCGCCGTTTGACGTAAACGTAGTGCTTAACCTCTCTAGTAATTTTAGAATGGAAAAATCTCAAGGATTATGAAACTTTTTGAGGAAAGGAAATATTTCCTAACAATCTTACGACCACATTGCCTCTTTTGAGGGTGCCTTTTTTGTATAATAAACCTTGAAACTTTTCTTTACCTTCCTAAAAGTTAAAGGTCAACCTTTTTTATTATGATTAACTTAATTGTAAACCGACTGCCATTTTATGACCCTCAAATTTTATGACCCTCTGTTCCACTTCAGTGACCACAATAATGAACTCCAGTTTCTGAAACAATGGAAAGGTGCATTAAATACCTTCGCTCCTCGGCCATCTTAAAAATAAGGCCCCAGAGATAAGGCATCATCATCCTATATATATAAAAACCAATCACAAAGCTTTTCTACTCAATTTTGTTTCATATGGACTTTAATATTAAAGTCCATATGAAACAAAATTGAGTAGAAAAGCTTTGTCATTACCGCTCCATAATTGTTGAGTACTATCCTGGATTTAGCAGTGTGAAACTCACCTGTAGTTAAAAACCAATCATGTATTTTGCTTTCAGATTCTCCAAAACTTGGCAAATCACGTTCTTTTCTCCAAAGAAAAACACATGGAGGCATTCAATGGTTTTCTACAAGCGAACTTTGAAAAGGCGAGAGAGTAAGAAAGCTCTTGACTAGCACTTGCACTTACTTTTGGGGTCATCCCCGGTGGAATATAATTTATTCGTTTTCTTTGTTTTGTGGACTATTGTCAGGGTTAGGTTCATTGTTAAGGATGTTCTGTTTTCTTTGTTTTACGTCAGCTGTCAGAAATAAATTATACTACACCGGAGATGAGCCTCCTTTTGACATGTCTAGCGGGTTCAAATCGTTTATCACGAAACTTTATTTAGGACAACAATTTTTTCATTTTTGTAACCTACAAACGTTTTCCTTTTCGTGAAAGGTTTGAACCCAGGATTCATTTCAAAAGTAGGTTGAATTTGATCGTCCGGGTGAACGTAGTCCTGAATAGGACTGTTGTTGTTGACAGTGACTGACGTTTCGAGAACTTGTGCGGTAGTCATCTTCAGAGTCAAACTGAGTTGTATCACGTCAGTTGATGGTATTATACTCTGGTTATTGATCTGATTGGTCAATTACGTCGTGATGTTATTGGTCGTCTGTCAGTTAAGCCGTGATGTTATTGGC